GAGAAGAACTCTTAATAAGTTTTGATAACATTAATGATACTGGTTTTTGTTTTTTGTCATAACAAATTACAGTACGCGGCTTACATCAGCCTTGCTTGTACTTATAACGGTATACAAATAGAATAACGTCACATTTGTACGAGATCAATACAAGTAATATTTTAATTTAATTAATATTTTAATTAATAAGTATAGAAACAATTTAGAGAACGAAACGCTTATTTCAAATGTCTTGTACAGCTTACTGATGAGAGTCTATAAAAACATAATGCGTTAGTATTTGTGAGGCAAAACAAATTGTTTATGAGTATTGTAATGCTTACATCCCTTGTTAGTGTTTTTAAAACTGAATTCCATACTTCATCAGACAGTAAACATATGCGATGCGAATGATGAGTAAAAGGACCTGAGAATATGAGTATAAAGTTTTTTAACTATATCGATTTAATAATAGTATAAAAAGGAATATTAGTACTTAGTTTGATAGATAAAGGTATGTTCCCTTACACGAATTTACACCCCTAATTCCATATGTGGTCGAATTTGCTATAACTGAAACATATTCGTTGCCACCGGCGTTTACGTGTGTGATTATTAAGAGCTAAATCGTTTAACTCGTTCTAACGAAGGACAAAGGTTTTTCTTGAACCAAAATGTTTTTGTTTTACGAAACTGTGAGAGAATACAAACATAGTATGTCGGTATGCGTGTATAGGTTGCATGATTCATTATAACCCAAACATTCGTTACATTAACGCAGTACAGAGCAGGATATTTCATATTAAAGAAAAGTGTAGTACGTCATATGTCGTAGATTTACATTACCACTGTATGCAAAATATTTTGGACGTACAAATTTCAGTCGAAAATCTGATTTTTCGAATTTTGTACAAACAATGGAATAACTTTGAATCTAATAAAAACCGCAGAACTTACATGGGCTTAAGCGATAGATTTTGAGATCCACAAAGGTTTAGACCCGTCCATTAAAAACCATCCTGTATATAATAGGTGTGATATTCGTGATTCGTTCTCCGAATTTTAATTAACAAACCGCAATATTCACTCTTTTTTCTACTTTAAATAACAATAACATTATTTACATTTTAAAATATTTACTAATGATGGCTAAATATTTAATCGAAATATACCATTTGTTAAAAGATAAGTAGGACTTCTATATTTCACATTTAAATCTTCCCAAAAAACGACAAGGTAACCTCCATTGCGTCGTCCTAAGAAGCTCAGGTAAAATTCTAAATCTACAACTGCTACGTATGTTTATCACTAGGTTCTAATTACTTATACTGTTGAAACGGTTAATATTTATACGGTGACAAAATAATCATATTCAAGTTAGTAGACATTGTTTTTATGTGAATTATTCTGATGATTTAATTCACCTTTATAGGTAAATTAAATTCATAATTTTCCACTTGTTCGTAGTTCTGAAATGTAGTTATTAAAACACCGATAACACCATTTAATACCTAATCCAATTAATAAGTTAAACTTTGCTAATATTTTGGTAAAATTGCCTTTATTATTCTAATAAGAGTTAAATTTCGTCCTTACCTCCTTTTCTGAATTAGTTCCCGCTTGTAGTCTCAAAGGGTAACAAAACAAATAAACTGTCACAACGGAAAGGTTACTTTGCACGGATACAATGCGACTTATACTTTTCACACAAAACAACGGAACAAAACTATTTCTTAAATCAAACAAATGCAGTTGGCATAAATCGCTCCATTTCTCTAGTCACCGTTCACTGTGTTATAGAACTTTCACAAGTTACATAAAAGTTTTCTAAGAAAGTTGCGGAGGTCAAAAATCGAAATATTATCCTTTGATAAACACGTGAATAAGGAATGTGCCGCTCGCCGGCACTCAAACACAAACCAGTCGACGTGCACCGAACACTGTCAAAACGAACCAGCTGGTACGGCATCTCTGCCACTCTAGCGGCAAAACTCACAACTAACTTCAGCCCTGATGTAAAATGACATAACTTAATTCTTGACAAAAAATATAAGCGATTCGTATTAATCGATGACATTTTATGTGGTAAAAAACTGTGTGGCTTGTACAATGCCGTACAATTTTCTAGCAATCAAATATGAACTTATCGAAAAACTGTAACTGTAATTATTTTACCAACCTAAACCTAAACCTAATCAAAATACTTAAAAAGGGATGGAGCAAAAAAAAATTCAATCCAATAAATATTATTAAATAATAAATTTAAATTAAAAATATTTCAATCATACCAATTAAACTTAAGCAAGTATTTATTTAAAGATAGTCTTCATCATCATCATAATCAGTCTAAATTCATCCAGTGTAGGGCTCCCCCATTGATTGCCACAATGCCCGGATTATTAAATATAGTACATAACTCTATTGCTGTGACACTGGTAATAATAGATATTGTCATCCTTAACATTTTCTTGAGAAATATTGAAACAACAATATGTCAAAACAAATATCGCGACTGTCGACACACAGTCGCATTAATTAAAAGAAAATTTATAATAATAAACTTATATAAGTGTCCATGGAGTTACAAGCGAAAACGAATCGCGTCATGGCGGCGCGTCGACGCTGGTTGAGGAGGATATTGACTTGCGACGCCGTCACTGCGCATGTATTAACTAAAGCATGTGTTTCTGTTTTTAATACTCTTGTTATTAAAATAATAATTGTACATACTGCTGTTATTAAATGTAAATAACCATTCCATGTATCTGTATTGATTAGTTACAAAAACTGTCGTCAATTTCTAACCACAAAAAAAGTTTAATGTCAGACACCGCTAGCGTCGCGTCGCAGTCGACCCGGGCGGCCTTGACCCGAGGAAAAAATTAGCCTGTTGTTCACGCTTTAATAATAACTTAGCGGATTATCATAATGGAGCCTAAAAATATCCGTAGCCATGTTCGTGCGTATTTAAGAGCTTAAAGCTAAGGAATATTGATACATTTTATTTTCTTACAACGTAGCTACCTACCCATCTATCCACAATATTCTGTTTAGTCTAATATAAAAATACAACTTAGTTACTACTTTATTTACCTACAAACTTATTGATTACACTTATATTGTTTAAGTGTTTTAAAGTAAGGTTCCTGTGAATATTGCATACGTTAACGATATAATTTCACAGAATTAACTTAATTTAATATGCACAACTAACACAGGTGACCATTATTTTTTGTATATTTCTATATGTGGTTTTTGAGGCAAGAAGTTTTTATTTGTCTTTTTTGGCCAGCAGCCAACTAAAGCAGTTATTTCACGAATATAACTCTTGTAAGGTTTGCGTGTACCTACTTATCGTAACATAAAAGCATCTGCAATAATTTGGTTACTAGCAGTAACATTTCAGATCACAAAGACTTGAATCGTTGAGCTGCAGCTCAACAACCAAATTGGGAGCTTATGGCTCATCACGGAGTACCATAACTATATTAGCCAACGGGACGCGATCTGATGACCAGCATTTTGCAGCTCGAAACGCAAATGATAACTATTTCATTCGATAAAAAAAATATATGCAAGTATAAATTCACGTGAGCCGGTTTACTGATCTGCTTCATATACGTGAACAGATTGCTGATCTGCAGGTCATCAATTTTAGCTCTGTTAACCATGACTGTAATAAAGTAAAAATAAGTTATCTTACAGACATTGTTTATACCATATGCCGATAGAGGTCTCTGTTCATTGTGTTACGAAAGTCGTCGGCAAGCGCAACTAAATGCAAAATTTTGTCGTAAGCTGGGCATAGATGGCGCGAGTGTGATGTACCATCGTTTGTCTATCGTAACTTGAAAGGTAGTAAGTCTATCATAGATGCCACTATATTTATTTTAATGAAAGTGAAGCGAATTGTATTTGAAAAATAATAACATATCATCCATAAATAGTAAAAATATTATCAAATAACTGTTAAGGAGAAGAAACAAAAGGGGCGTAGCGAGGGGTGCTGCCCCCTGGCGACTAACACTTCTTCGAATAACACCACAATAATGGTAATTGACCCTCCCCTCCCCAAACCCTCAACCCAGCCTAGATCGACATCATCGGCTGGGGACGCCCATGTATGTATCTACATTATGCATCATAATATTATATACGAATGAGATATAAACCGCGTGGGTTACCGGATAAATTGTCTTTCGAGGTAACAATTTGTAATAAACTTGGGATTTATTATTAACACGTTGCTGCAGAAATACAAAGTCACGTGAAGTGATTGTTATTTTGATCTCCCTTCGTCTTTGTCCTTTGATTATATTGATTATTTACGAGTTGTTATGGTAACCATAAAATGAATCTCATTGAAACATTGTTAGGAATTAGTAGTACTATCAACGGCAACTAATTTATTAATAAATTCTTTCCAGCTAATTTTTCTAGAAGTATCTTGGAGTAAGGTTCATAAAATCCTCATATCGTGAGGCGAAAGAATTGGCTAAAACCATACAACTTTGTCGTATCAATTAATATTGAGATCTGCTACACATTGATACGACCATAGGTAAAAGCTTTAAAATCGTTTGTGTTTTGTTTACATACTATCTAAAAAGAAATTATTTAACAATTAACTACGTCTGTTCAGACAAATATTAATTTTTGGCAACGGCTACGGGCAACAATGTTTTCGTTACAGTGGTGCCATAGATTATTTTGGCAACAAACATTATTATTACGTACAAGTAAAAGCCAAACTATTTGAGTTAATATTGAAATTAATTAACTTTGAAGTAAAGTTTAATGTATTTGCTCAATACAAGATCGAAATAAAAGTTTTTTATTATCTCTGCCAACATTATGTCTCATGAATGCATATCCTCAACTCTGTTTTACGTTAAAGCCCTTTAATGTGCTTATTTCGAAAATTCTAAAAATTGTTTATGGTCAATAGCAATCACTTGATTAAAAAAATTGTTACGGACAATGATTAAAAAAATATCTAAACTGTGTGTTAAATAACTTACATACGTATTGTTTGCGATGCTTTTCTCTTGTCTTGTTTTTAAATATTCTTCGTTTTAATCGATTTAGTACCACATCCGCTTCATCAACACTTTCCGATGAGGAGGATCGACTTAATTGAATAGCACCACTAACAGAATAACGTCTATTGTTCGATGAACTACTTAATTTTCGTTCGCGTTGTTCAATTTCTGATAATCCTCGCCTATATAACTTCAATCGTTTTCTCAACTCGCAATCAGCTGCGACATCTGTCGACATATTAATGAATTCACTTTCAGATATGTCATCTCTTGAATTTATGACATTTGTTTTTTCGTCTTTCTCTTTTAATTCTATGTTATTCAACTGCTGGTTACAGGAAGCCTGTTCACAAGTTACTAAAGGCTTTGTACTTCGAGATATAGTAATAGAATTGGCACTCGATGCTCGTCGTACAGCTAAACTTCTCAAGTAAGTATTCAGAAAAGATATTTTGTTTCGTGGTAATGTATAAAAACTATTTCCTGAATTTGAACGGGTTATTTCATTAGTAATTGTTCTTTCTCTCAGCGCAGTGTCATTGAAAGATTGCGAAGTTTGAAGTGTGAAGTTTGGGCTCTTTTCTTCAGTTGACTGAATAGCAATATTAGTGTTGTTCGATTCTCCATTGATGTGTATAGAGCCATCTATGTCCTTGTACACTGATATTTCTTTATCGTCTTCACAAGTTTCATTATCTGAACTTTTGTAACTACTAGCTTCGCTAGGTCCTTCCGAATGAAATGGTGTAGTTTCAATACTGCTTGGATGTAAGTTATTATAGCTATTATTAACTGTGAGTTTACTTGGAATGTTGCATACACTATCATTATTCTTAACAATATAACTTACATTATTGTTTTCATTTACTAAGGCAGGAGTTCTGTATACACGCGTGTATACTCTGTCACCTGAAATCGTGTTGTGCTTCCTAGGAAGTTTGTGATTAATAACATGCTTGTAATCTGTTTCACGTAAGGATTGACTAGTCCTTAAATGTGGTTCATCGTAATCGGAACTTTTAATAGATATGTTTTCGTCGTTTGTTTCTACTAATAGGTTTCCTTCGCAGTCGAAAAGCTGCACCGTTGGGAATCTGATACCTGGTGAATGATTTCTCGTTCGTAGTTCCCATTTTCTGTGTGAAGGCTTACGTAGTTGGATACGTATTACGTTGTCATCGATAATTGGAGTGTTGCTGTCACTAGAGTCTTCTTCGTTTTCCATTTTTTAAAATCCTTTCACTTTTGTTTCTCGGCATTTGTTACTTTATTAACTTAGATATTGCAACTTGGAAAACCCGTAATAAGCTTTTACTTAATGATAATCTATTTGTTTACGATCAGCTGTTAGCTATGAACACTGGCATTATGCCAAACATCACTATTCTTCAGCATTCACTCGAAAATAGCACCAATGTCAATTTTGTTTTTCAACACACATAAATTTAGTAGCACGTGATCTTCCCATTCCGTTCTGTATACATTTTTAAGCGCGCGATAACCATCACTAACAAATAATTTTAATGATTGAATATAACACTGCATAGAGACGGTGGATGTTGAAAACGATTGCATAATTCGTGTGCAAGTATTACGCGCAGTTGCACCGTCTAATGACTTTATGATAGTAAAATGAATTTGTTATAGTCGTATCAACAATCACTTCACAACTTTAAATCGAAAAAAATAAATCCTTGGCGATAAATTAACACTTCACGTTTATTCATCTAACATGGTTTTAATGTTCGCAATCGTGAGGACTGCGCGCGATTTTTTGGACGTTCGCGGCTCCGGTCATTTGTACACTGAAAGCCAACGGCTAAACAGATGCGAGCCACTATAAATAGTGAACGAACACGTTGGTAATCTGGCCGGCTTCCCTTGAACCTAGTACTCGCATAACCGATGTGTAGCAAAAAGCATAATCTGTGGCGTAAACGCAACAACTGTTCACTTTGACATAGTTTTACATTTGACTACTCGGCGTGACCGTATGCATTTGATGCAAACAACACAGCCTACTTTGTATGGAGGCGACGCAACGTTTTCTTTTCGGCGTAATTCACATGAAACGCTTCGAAGAAAATGATTATTTTAATTATGACTTATTAAGTTTTTACGGAATTTTCAAATTAAAGCAAAATGAATTGTGGTTTTCTTACCTTGTAAATTGATATCAAGACTAAGGAGCTATGTTATGTAACATTGAAATGTTATGGCTCTAGTTGTTGTTCCACGAATTGTTTAATAATAAGGACATCTTTTATCTTCATATATAAAATCAATTGCTAAAATCGAGAAGGGTTCAACGGATTTATCTTATCTTGGTCTTGAAATGTTCGTGGAGGTGTAGTTAAGCTTTAAAAGTTGAGAAAAATTCGAATAATTGCTGAGAAAACCCTAAGAAAAAGCCCTTTTCTTTATCCCATAGAAATGGCCGAATGGATCTCGCTGAAACTTGGCATAGTTGTAGAACATAGTCTGAAAGAACATATAGGCTAATAATTTTCTTTTTCGTGCGGACGGAGTCGCAGGCGGCAGCTAGTTCGACAATATTTTTTGGTTTAATTGATATTTAGTACAAGTTTTCATTTGTTTTTGCAAACCGAATTTAATGCGTTATGCTTTTGACATTATAAAATATTGATAACGGTACAAATTCTTAACATTTTTGATTTCTATAAAAACGGCTATGATGATCTAATCCGCAGACACTTTATATTGTGGTGGGTGTTATAATAGTTCTAGCTTCTTCGGGCTTCGTTTACATATTACATTCTTACTTTTATTAGCTTCGCTTGTATCTATCTATAGACCAACAAAGTCTGACCAGGTGGGCGTAAGTCAAACTAAATTATGACAGCTCACTAGCGCCTCCATGTCAATGTCAAAAAGTGTCAGAAGATCCTTTTCGTACTGTAGCTGTCATGTCTTTTTTTTAATTTATGCCATTTTATATGTCAGTGTAGGTTTTACATATTTTGTTACAGGACTAACTGCGACTGCAGCCTCTTTCATTGGACCAGACATCCTTAGTTGAGTATAGCTGTCTTGTAATGTTTTTTGTGTGATTTTCTATGCTTACGTTGTTTGTCTGTTTGTTTTATACATATTTTCTGTACTTTTTACCTTAATATTTTTTTTTTGGTAAAATTACACTTAAATTGCTTGATATTAGAAAAAAAAACTTTTTATACTGGCGAATAAATCGTACTAAAAGATTGCTATTCAAAATTTTCACGTAGTAACCGCAATTTAATTGTTTTATGTTCGAAATCTCTTGGTATGCGCATGAATGAATCCTGCTGCAATAACAGTTTGCAACGGCCGCAGCCTTTGTGATACAAACAGATATTAGAGTGCCGGACCTGTGTTTGAAATCAATTCGTTGGATTTTTTCAAATATTTTCATACTGTCTTTTTTTATCTTACATTAAAAATACTTACAATCTTATTACTCTAATTTGTTGTAACGTTTATTGAAACAAATATAAATCTTGTACTAATTTATTATTATAAAAGTTCTCCTGTTTGTTACGATGTCAGCTGGTCTTGATGAGATTGTATTGCGCCTAGCGAAACAGTGTAGCAAACGCTACTTGATATTAGCATAATTATTGCGACGCATATTACAGTAGGCGTTTAATAATACATTTTTATTTTGTTTATTAATTAAATATGAAAAGGATTTGAATTGAATTATTCAATTAATATGATTAAAGATTTGTATTTTTGAATCGATTTTTACTTTTATGTTTTAATTCGATTTGTTGTATTTAACTAATACTTTTAGAAAAAAACAGTTTCATTTTCTTAGAAATAAATATTTCTTCTTAAACATTACCTTACATTAATAGTAAAATACATAATAAAATAATTTATAGCATTTTATAAAAAAAGAAGTATCTTCAGAATTCCGTCTACCGTCTACTCACCTTTGTCGCCTCTTACGTCACTCACGACGCTACCCACATATATTTTCTTATAATAATTTTACGTCGCTACCTCTCATATATCCTGCTCTTAGTTATTCATGTCAGATAATTGTTAATATGACAACAAAACCCGTCGGCTGGCCTAGATACCTACGACAGATCTGTGAGAGCTACAAGCGATGGACTGGCAGGGATCGGCGCAGTACTGGCGACTTTGGTGACTTCATGTGTCGGAGGGGCCACTTTGGGTCGCTGCGCCAGCGAAGTAAACAACAGACCATGACTGGACATAGCGAGGAAGAATAGATAAAGTCGTAAGTGCTATTTTATAATTTATTTATTTTATAATTAACACGATTTGTTTTTCATTTCAACAAAATAACAATTTGTACAAATAACAAAAATAGAATTGAAATTTTTGTTATTATTTTTGTCACCTGGAGCGATGCCAGGAGCGGTGTTGATAATATAAACGAACGTTTCCTACATTCTTTATCAAAACATTCGCTTGGGATTTATCCTATACATTCACAAATCATCAGATCTTAAAAAAAATCGATAGAAAAGAAGAAATACTCTGCAACGTATGTAGTTTGTCTCAGTAGCTTTGCTTTTAATTTCCAATGTTTATCAAAACTGGATTAATGTAAACCTCTTAGTAAAATTTACTTTGAATTTTATTCTTGATATCTACTTTTCTAACCATTCCTAGGTCGTAAAAGTTCCTAAATTATTTAATAACATATGATAAAATATTTCCAACATTTTTGTTCATTTCAGCCGAATAAAAGCAAGACCATTCATTGCATTTCTTTTTGCGTTTAACCCATTAAACACAGACCGTGCGGTGCGGTGCACGCGAGCAAAAAACGTCACCACTAGATTTTTTAAATCGTTCTTTTGAAAGATCTTTTTCAACCAAATCTAATCTTTTAAAATAAATATTAAACATAAGTTTAAAATATTCATAATTAAAAATCAGTAGATTAGTCATTACAATAAATTTCTTAATCCTTGATAAAACTAATTAACATTCTAATTTGTAATATTATAAAAAAAATATTGATTTTGAGTGTTTAATAAAGTTTTAAATAGTGCTTACTTTGCTATTGTAAACAAATTAAAGTAAATGTTTGCGCTTTGCTTTAGTTTCTGCTTTGAGCATAACATGCAACACGCGAGAAAAGAAGTCCAGAAGGTAAATAATGCCAAAGTAATTACTGGCAACTTGCAAGTTAACTTCTGAATAAATGGATTTTTGATTGAAGAATCTTTTCCGGTAGAAATATATCTTCAATTGTCTAAAATTATTGAACGATAATCAAAAGTAAAATGTTGAAATCTAGTTGATATCTCGATAAATTTTAAATGAAAAATTTTGAGTTCAAATTTTACTCATAATTCCCTCTGCTGATTATGTTTATATATTTTTGTTGTTAAAAGTAAACTTATAAAGGTTATATGTGCGTATAGAGATGAAGGATATACGATAGTTTGCAGAGTGCATGGTTTGTAACCCTTTCTACAAAGACACGTTAGGTCATTTGCATATGTATGAACCTTAAACAAGTCAAGAGTCCCGCGAAAACAAGGCCTCGGTGGTATTATGCCTAAGATAACGAAGTATGCATTTTTTCTACCACAATAAATCGACGGTAAAATATTAATTTTACAGTATGTATTATGATTTATGTATAGGTGTGTATATAAGATTGTTTTAATTACCATTTTAATATAGAGAAGTTTGTTTTTAATATAGTTATGTCACATTTTATGTCTTATAATCTATACTAATAATATTATAAAGAGTAAATAAATTATTGTTTCTTTGAATTGAATAGGCTCCAAAAGTATTCAACCGATTTTAAAAATTCTTTCACTGTTGAGAAACTACACTATTCCTGGGTTACATAGGTCATATTTATTACGATATTTTTTTAAATTCCCCAAATACTAATGGTCCACTGCTTTGTATTAGAGAATCTGTAAAATTTGTTTACAATAAAAGTTCAAATTGATTCTAAGTAGTAAGTTTAAGTTGTGTTTTAAACTTAGTAATTTATTTAAACTAAGTAATAAATATGAAATTCTTAAAACAAAGTTTTTTTTTGCATAACATTACGATTAGAATGGAAGATGAATTTTCATTTCTGGAAGACTTTACTGATGAATGATAACATTGAAGAACCCTCGACCTTTTCTAACCGGCAGAACGTCCGATGAAAGAGAAAATGAAATAAACATTAAACGTTCACTTGAAGGTACAAAGTATTAGGATTCTTTTGCTATTCTCTTTATGTGACTCCGATTGTTGATAGCGGTGTTTTATTTGTGAACGAAAAATAAACATAATTTATTAAATTATTCATGCAAATATTTATTAATATTATTCTAACGTTTATGTTTTTAAGATAGACGCGATCGAGATGTGGTGCTGGAGAAGAATGCTGATAATACCTTGGACCGAATTCCGGACAAACAATTCAATCATCGAAGAACTCGGCATCAAGCAGCGTCTGTCATGCATTGTTCGGGTTCGCATACTCACTTTTTTTGGTCACGTCTGTAGACGTGATGACGAATCCATCGAGCGCTTGGTGGTGCAGGGGAAAGTTGAGGGCAACAGACCACGAGGAAGATCGCCTATGAGGTGGACTGACCAAATCAGAGCGGCTGTGGATGTCCCCCTGCACCAATGTACAAAAAAGGCAGCGACTAGGGAGGAGTGGCGGCGCCTGGTAAAGCGGGTCACTGATACGTGATGACCACGACCAGTCTGACAAGACTGTAACAACGAAGAAGAAGAAGAAGAATGTTTTTGGCAGTAAAATAATTGTTCGCGCCTGAGGTGCGGGCAACACCACTACCGGTGCGAACCAACGTGCGGTGGCACGAAACGTCACT